GAAGAACAGAACACCTCTCCTATGAGAAGAGGCTGATAAAATGGGAACTGTTCAGCCTAGAGGAAAGAAGGCTCTGGGTAGACCTTAGAACAACCTTCCAGTACCTAAAGGTGACCTATAAGAAAGATAGGGACAAACATTTTAGCAGGGCTTATTGCAGTAGGACAAGGGTTAATGGTTTTAAAATGAAGGCAGGTCGCCTCAGACTAGATGTAAGGAAGAAGTTTTTTACAACGAGGGTGATGAAACACTGGAACAGATTTCCTTGAGAGATGTTAAGATGCCCCATGCCTGGAAAGATTCAAAGTCAGGTTGGTTGGGGCTCTGAGCAATCTGATGTAGTTGAAGATGTCCCTGCTTATTGCAGAGGTGTTGGACTACATGACCTTTAAAGGTCCCTACTAACCCAAACTATTTTATGACTCTTAGGATTTGATGGTCCTGTGGGTCTCTTCTAACTCAGAATATGCTGTGATTCTGTGATTGATTCTATGGAAACTGGAAGGAGCTTCTTGTCCTTACTTGGACTTTAGCACTGGTGGATGCATGCAGTCTATTTACTTACAGTACATATGTGTGAAATTAATACAGGCTAAGTTGTTCACTGTAAGAGGAATTTGGAGAGGTATTATGGATGTGTGTTTGACGGACCAAGTGCAGCCTCTTACGTAGCTGGGCTGACTCAGGTTTTGGTGCTCTGCTAATGAAATGGTGCATGTCTCACCTACATCTTGTGAAAGACCTCAAAGGTTAAAGAGGTGGCACTTTATTTCAATAGGAATCTCTTGTGTGGAGAGAATTGGTGCTGCATTGTAAGAGGAAATCGACTTCTGTGGCTGCGGAGATATCATCAGTGGAAAGAATTTCTGGCAGAGAACAATAACCAAAACAATGGAGTGAGGTTTAGGATGGAGCATGAGCAGCCTGCGAGAGGGATGTCATGCAGCTGAGGTACCTGGAATAGCTCATTCCAGCTTAGCTGCCTTGGAAGAGATTGTTCCCCTGAGGCATGTTACAGCTTAATCTAAATCATAGATAGGCTGAAGTCATCATCAATTAATATCAGGGGAAAGCTTCCCAATGACATAAATGACATTTGGATCATGGATTTAGTAACCACTTAACACGGGCTGTTAAACTCTCCTTTGGAAAGTATAATTTTTTCATTGTTTTCACTACAAGCAGAAGAAAGCTGACGTCTCTGAGAATAAACATTTTGTGGTTCATGCCATTCAGGTATTGGTTTAATTGGAAACCCCAAGGAAGCTCTGCAGAGGCAAGAAGTATTTTCTGTGCTTTTGTGGTTTCTGGTAAATACAGTATCGATGAAGTGAGCATTGATGTGTTTGCTTTCACACTGAATGCAGCTCGGATGCATTTTTCAGTGTTTGGTTGACTACTGTGGATTTCAATATATTTCACCTACAAAATTGAAGAGTTCTTTTAATTCAGAGGCACAAAATGCCTGTTTTAATTAATTTAAAAAATAATAGGTGTAAAAATATATGTTCTGGAAACTCCAGCAGAGAAATCTTCAATTATCTTTCTACTAATTTCAGCCAGTACAGTGATTTTAATCTTTTCCTGAATAACTCAAGAATATCTCTGTAGATATCCTCAAATTACTAAATTTTCTCCTGAGTTAAAATCCCACACGGAAATTTCAGACCCCAAAAATAGCACTTTTAGGAAAAAATGTCCACTTCAGACTAGAGTTTTACAATGGCAATTCCATCAAAACGCCAGTGTCAGCCTTGCTTCTACATGAAGTGGATCACAACCGATTGCTGGCTCTGCAGGATCCCCATCTATCCCCATCTTTTGGGAATCAGTTCACAGTTCCTTCTTAATAAATCTGGATGATGGCTTTTTTTCTTGCCAAACTGGAAAGATGTTACTTTGTGGTAGTTTTACATGTGTAAATTGTAAAATCACTTTTAGGGGAATACAGGGAAGGCAGAGAGAGCCCTACATCACTGACTTTTGGGTTTTAATTGTATCAGAAATCACATTGACTTAAGTACTGGGTTTTGCCTCATTCTATTGAAAGGAATCTTCAAAGAATCAGTATTTGTGTACTTAGCACTTTTTAAAAATTAGACCCATTTAATGTCCAGAGAAATCACTGAGCCATTAAAAACTGAACTGCAAAATGCCTCTCTCACAGAAATCCCTATGCCCGAGGGTATTGCTGATTTGGATTTTCTTCAATGTAGCAACACTTGGGTTTCATTCATGTCTTGTAACAATGGAACATTAATTGAGAGGATCAAAAGCATGCTTTCCAAAAGACATTTTTTTGTCACTACTGACATGATTTTCCTCCATGTTCCTTGTTTCTGGGGCTTTAGAAGATTCTGGATGAATTAATGGCTTTGATTTTTCCCCCACTGTATTTCCAAGGAAGAAAACTTTTTTCCTTTTTTTAAAAAAATTTTCTTTTTGTTTTTCTTTTTTAAAATAAGGCTTATCAGGCAAACTCTAATATTAGAGTATATAGGAGTTCAGATGACAGATGAGTTTAAAAAGCACTGGGTCAAAAGGCAGTTCAATTTGCTTGACCCTGCTGGCATTACTAAACCTGCTACACCTTCAGTTGCATACCTACATGACAAAGATTTTGCTCAGCTTAATTTGAGAGGTTCTTGGGCTTACAAAATATGCAAACAGGAATAATCAAATAGAGTTGCCTACATGGTGACATAGAAGTCTGACCCTACAGAAATGTCAGTAGGGGCAGACACTACGGTATGATTTTAAGGATGCTCCTGCCTGTTTGGTTACAACAGTGTAACATGAAAGGGTTTCTCCTAACTATTGTTGTTACTGGGCTCAAATTCAAGTGAGTATATCCTTTACGTAATCTTTGAGGTAAGGACCATGCATGGCTTTCATGCAGGTGGACTCATTATAATTCCTGATTTCTGCTTAAGTTTCTGTGCCAAGTGCTGCTCGGGAGTTAATGAAATGGAGTCTCAGTTACCTAACACTTACTGATGAACTGGTGAACAGGTGAATTCCCAGTCCCGTGGAAGTGGCAGGGTAGGAGAGGTGCTTGCAGTTCCCCTGACTGCTGTTGGTGGCCACACAACATGTATATAGATATATTGTTGTACAGGACTAAAACTCCTCTCTCTGCTTTAACCTCCACACTCCTGGACACCCCTTCTGCTTAGGAATGATCAAATAACTTTGGTTTGCATTATTCATTCTGGAAGTCATTCCTCTTCTTTTTCTCTTCCCCGAAGAGGTAGGCAATGGAAGACAATATTAAGACACAGTTTAAGACAAAATAAGTTGAGGAATTCTTTCAAAAACCCAGACTTCCAGCCAGAAAGGGGAATCCAAGGCCAAGCAAAGCTCTCTCCAGCAGCTCCTTACACATCAGTGAAAGTGTGCCCTGCTAATGTAGGCCAATCTCTGAGCTTATCCTTTCTCTCCCAGCTGTCAGGATTTCTTAAATAATGTCCTCCATAATCCAGCCACAGGTATCAAGGAGAGGAGGGTTGTGAGTCATCCAGGCTCTGAGAGATACAAGAAGGTTTATGACCTTCTTTGAAGGTTTTCTCCACTGTCTCTTGTTTTCTTTCATTTCTCTCCCATTTGTTTTGTGACTTTCACTATATTAGGTCCATTTCTTCTCTCAGCAAAGTCATTAGGTGTTTGTCATCCATTCCAGCAGGAAAAAACTAGAATTGCAAAGCTGCTCCCTTTAGCCTGTCATTGCCAAGCTGATCCTGCCAAGTGTTAGCTTAATTTGTCTTTTTTTTTTTTTACAAGAAAAAAAAATAAATACATTTGAATAAAAATTTAACTGACTCATTCTACTAAAGGGAAATGGTTCATTTGGAGGCATCTCTAGGGAAAGCAAATAATTGAAAACTTGGATTTTAAAATTGTGAGTAAAGATACTAATGGATCCTGGTTTTAATCCAGAAATCAATTATGTAAGGTACACCAGGGTGTAGGAGACCCAGGCTCAGTTCTCTCACCTTCCTGTGAGAATTTGAAGCTGTCTCTGGCCCTCCAAGGGAGAACCTGCACTGCAACAAGCTTCTAGGGAGCCCTAGAGAAGGAGTGTCCTCCTCTCAGACTCTCACATTCATTCAGTTTGGCTCCACGTAAATAGTAGTTTGTTAGGGCAAGGATCAGAAATGAAGGACACCCTGTCTGGGTGAGGAGCTGACCACTGTGCTAGAGAAACTCTATATCTGCTTCAATAAGTATTCAACTACTTTATGTAGAACAGTTAGATCAGGACGGATTGAGAGAATCATGTCTCCTCCTTGGGCTGCAACCTATTCAGTACCTCCCTAGAACAGATTAGTGTCTTTCAGGAGAGAGCCTGATTTTTTCCTGGATTTGGATTACCCAGCAGCCTCAGACAAGTGTTGCAGTGCTCCAGTCACCCAACCAAACCCTGCAGCAGGAGCTTACTTCAATGCTTGTTGGTTGTGTGCTGAGAAAGGCTGAGCAGCCTCTTCTCATGTTGAATGTAGTACGTGGTCTGTCTCTAGCAAGGTTCAGTTGCATCTTATGTTTGTCCTTTGTTCTGAATAGTTTCTATAAATCACTTTCAACCCTGAATATGAGTCCTCTTCTGACTAAGGTGCATGTGCAGGTATCTGTTCATCATTCATATGTCTTCTCTTTCTTTTTGGAGAGCCTACAGAAGATGAATTATGTTTTCTAAGATTTCAGTACAAAGGGAAGCAAATACAAATAGAAAAAATGAAGAGAGCTGTGTCTAAGTTATTGTCCTTTGCTTAATGCTACCCATATTCTTCTTGGGCTGTAAAAGATTCAGCAAGGACAGTCTCTAACAGCTTTTGTGTCAGAATCTGACTGCTGAATTATCCTCTTAGGCCCTCTCACCTTTCACTGAAATGTGGACAAATAAATTGCCTTTTGGCAGCAGGTACGGAAAGTCACCGCCTGGTTCTCACTCACAGGCAACTGGCTGATTTGCTTTCCTTTATTCCATTTGTTTCCTTTTGCAGGGAAGGCTGCTTCTCCCCCATCAGCCCAGAGGCATGGCCCCTTGTGCAGTCTTTCATATGCCACAACCGAACGTTCATACTGGATGGCCACGTGCAGCTGAAGACGAGTCTGCAAACACAGGAGCGACACCTTTTCCTCTTTACAGACCTTCTGGTCGTTGCCAAGTCCAAGTGAGTATTGGCCCCATGGGCCCTGCTCCTGCAGAGCAGACATTTCCATCAGTACAGCACGGCATGGATGTCCAGAATGCGGGTTTTTTAGTAGCAAATCTTCCCTAAATCATAAGGAAACTTTTTGTTTTGACCTTTCCAGGAACCTTTGAAAACCCCATAGCCATAGAGGAATTCCAGGATGCAACATTTGAAGGAAATATCAGATGTTCTTCAATATATTGCTTGTGTTGTATTGTGTTTTCTGCTTTGGGAGTGCAGCGTCATAAAAAAGGCTCATCAATGCTCAGCTGTGTCCATTGTGCTGCCTTGAACTGATTGTTGTGTTTTAGGCAGGTCATCTTCAGTCCCATGGGGTATGTGTAACACCAGGGGTTGTGTCACAGAGGGGTGAGAGGTCTTAGTGCTTACCTAGAAGCTGTTTCGATACACACCAGTGATGAGCAGCTGTATAAAAACAGAGATTGCAGGCAGCATTGCAATGTCTGTCTCTGTAGGTTGTTCTGTGCCAGAAGGAATGTAGAGAAGGGGAAGGGGAAAGGGAAGCGATGCGGAGCAGTCTGGGTAGTGTTCATGTGTAATCAGGCTTGCTGCTGAGCTCTGATTATTCACTCTACCATTCACAATTAAATCACGTTTACAAGCTGTGTCTAGCATGGCAGCTTCACGCGGCATTTGTGATTTAAGGCAATTTTAGAGGGTGCTTTCACTTGTTGTTATGGGTTATGGGGAAATAATAATAAAAAATCCTGATGTAGCTTCACTCCCTGTTAGGCACTGTGTTGTGGTTTCACAGGGTGGGCAGTCTCTTTGTGAATCCTGGGCTTTGGCAATGTGTCGTTCCGCTTAAGCAATTGTTTCAGGGGCTTCTGGGAAAAGCCAGAAGAAATCTGTGTTTTCTGTAGAAATCCGAGCCGTGTCTGTTTGAATCACACATGGTAAACATAACCCCCCCAGCTAAACTCCCTCACTTGATGTGGTGTGACAACACAGAGGATATTTTACACAAAACATGTTCCTCTATGGGTGGGTGGTGAGCATAAGGATATTTGGGGGAAGTCTTGCCATTCTACCAGCAGCAGCAGTAGCAGCAGCACTGTTACTGTATTGATTTATGCTTGTTGCTTGTTTAGGGTGGAATTCACCTCACCTAATTTCAGCTTTAAGATGTGAAATATTTGCAGCTTACCTAGGCTTCTAGGCTCCTTTTACAGCCACTGGGGCAAAACTAGCACCTTCTGCAGCAAATTCACCTGATGCTAAAAGAGTGTTGATAGTGGGTGAGTGGAGTCATGCTCTTGGGGGTCTCTCTGTCCACTAGCTATTCAGTGGGCATGGTCCACCAGCTTAGCTCCTAAACGGTAGAAGACTAAAGTCAGGAGGGATAAATCCCTCCCTCGCTGGTCAGTGTACTGAACAGAAGCCACATTACAGCCCCAGGCTGAGCTACACATTACTGCAGGTTTGGCTGTGTCCCAGTGGGACTATTTGCATAGGAAAGCACTACTTGGTGTCACCGCACAAAAATCTGCTCCCCAGGGAGTAATAACAGCTCTTGCAGCATGTGATTTAATGTGGTGAAGAGACTGCAGTGTTTGAAAAAGGTGGAACAGAACAAATAGCGCTTTTGCATGTGAAAAAGAAGGGGGGGAACAAGTCTTTGCTAGAAATGGTAAAAATAGTATTTTGAGTGATATTACTTCATGTATTTTGAAGAACTAATTGGGATGTTCTCTCTACAGCTGCTCTGTCAGCAATTAAAGCATCAGAGCTGTCACTAATGAATACTTCTTAAAAATCAGTATTTTTAAAGTTGTCTCACGCTAAAATGCCATTGCCAGTTCCTAGAAGGAAAACCCGAGCGTGTGTATTGCTATGTGGCCGTGACTCTTGATTGCTATTGACTTTTTAATAGCTGATGCAGAGTCAAAGCAGTCAGACCAGGGCAGAATTAATGATACAGTTGAATCTGACATAACTTCAGAATTATTCCTTGTGAAGGTGCTAAAAATTTGTAATAGTCTCTAGTCTTAAGTATTTTTTCAGCTTGGGGCATATGAACCTCTAAGGTATCTTCGGTACAGCTTGGCTCTGTGCTGGTGTCAGCTCAGCTGAAGGTAGCCAGTCACTGTACAAAGGGACCTCGTGTGTAATTAGGCTTTGTATGATCAACAAACAGGTACAAGGTTTTCCTAAAGAGAGCAGCAAGTATCTTGTGCCTTCTGAGCTTGCTGGGTAAACTACTGTACAGCACTGAGGTCCTGCTTAAAAGCAGCGAACTGGCATTGCTCCCATGGAAATTGGTGAGGGGTAAGCCCTTGCCACAACTGGTCCATGTATGACTTGGGACAATGGGCCTGTAGGTTCATTTTTTGCTACTTTCTAATAATTTCTGAAATGTAGACTGTTACGTGTTTGTATCATGCATGATACAAGTTTATAGAAAATAGTCCTCAGGTGCTGTGCTCCTTTGTTGCCTTGTCCTTCGCTGCCTTCATGTGAGGATTAAGTCACAAATTAATTGAAAGAGTTTTTCTTACTAAACCAATGTTGAGCATGTAAGATATTATACTCTTTTCTATATATTGATTATACTTCTTACAGAGAGCATGTGTTTTTATTTGTCGGAGTAAGTGTTTTAAGGATCTGTCAGTGATGAAGGTTTCTCACCTAAGTTATGTGAGAGGCACAAAGAAATGGTTTCTAATTTCTCTTTTGTAATGGGACCTATGTATATACACATGCATTTTAAGGTTATTTTCCCAATGTGACTGGATGTAGAAACTAATGGTTGAGTGCATAGATGGCATAACGGTAGCAATCTCACAGTAGATCCATTTATGCTTTTGTCAGAGGGTCCTGTTAAGGAGATTAGCAAATCTAGTGAGAAGTTAATCTTCCATCTGTTATCAGCTACAAGGTATCCAATTGCCATTTACAGAAACCAAAAGGAACTGAGTGTACTCTGCAGAGGTGGCATAATTTGGGGTGCATCAATACCTACAGCATTGATGTTCATGGTTTTTCTGTTCATTTCAGTGGACTTGAGATCTGTGTGATATTTACAGTAACATTTGCTAGGGGATTTACTTAAAATATATGTAATATTCATTAGATTGTTACTCTACTCGTTTTTCAGATGTTCAGTCTTGCTGCTTCCTGAGTCAGCAATGATATATTCATTTCTAGAAGTAATGCTTTGGCACTTAAATAGAAGACCCACGTTTCACAAATGCTGAGAACTTGTGGATTGCATAAAGGACATGGCAGATAGGGATAAAATTATACTTCAGGCTCCTTAGATGTTAACGGAGGCTACTGTTTCAGTGCCTCTGGAAACCAGGCCACTTGAATACTGATAATAGCTGAGAGCTGTGACTAGGCATGGCAAACAGGGTAAGAATATACATCAAGCATGATTGGAGAACATCCTTGTGCTTCTGCCAACACCCTGCTGACACCCGCTACTGGCACTGTAGGGGTCTGGCTTTATGAACTGTAAATGTTAAAAAAGTGAAGGAACATGCAGAGTGTTCACTGTGCTGGTTGATGGCAAAACAAAGGTGAGGAGAAAGGAAGGGTCAACAGATTGGTTCGGTGGAGTCAGACCAGACATCCATTTACTAACATCTACATTAGAATTCACAGCTGTATCTTTTTTTGTACATCTACATTTTCACAGTTCATTCTGTGCTCAGTCAGAATACAGTTATTTTGGTATTCTTGGCAGATCTTACTTGTTGCACCATAAACGGATTTGTTGATGAGCATGTTGAAATGTTCTCCCTTACTGTAAGTTTCTCTTTGATCTGGTAACGAAATGTAATAGAGTAAAGAGAGGTGAAATGTTCAGCTGATGGGGAAACACCATAGTCTTAATTTAGTTGAACATGGTGTTTAGCTTTCAGTTTAAAAAATACACAAACTTGAGATGGTATTTTATAATATGACAATCAAATTGAAGTGCACCTTTTTGCCAGGTTTGTTATGCACGGACAGTCCTTTCTTGCCCACCACTGCAAACATTGCTGCACTATCCCACCACACGTGTTAGCACAATGTCAGCTGGAAACCTCAGACCAGTCAGGGTACAGCAAGTTCATCTATGTCCCTAAAGCCATAAGGTTCAAGTACTTTCATGGTTCAGAGAGGTATTAGTTTAGTCTGTCCTAAATCAAATGCTTTGTAAATGAGGCTTATCTCAGAGAAGGTAGTCCATGTGTATCAAAGCTCTAAGAAACTGCTTACCTGGCATATATAATTATAGAGCACTAATCACCATGGTTCCGACACTGTCCCCATCTGCATTTGCACCACACTGGTGAGCTGACGTGCTCTTGCTGGCATGTCCCCTCCGTTTCAGGGAAAAGACACTTTTCCTCCAGCCTTTCCCTGCTGGTCCAGGAGATTCAGGTTATTCAGTCTGCAAGGCTTGAAGTGGCTGTTGAAGTGCTGCAGAGCTGGATAGACCTAGTGAGATTTTACTTGTTTCTCACATAGCACCAGTGCTCACCAATCCTACAAAGGAAGGAGGCTTATAGTAAGAAATCAAGTGGAAGGAAAGAATTGAAACGAAAATGTGAAGTTCTGTAAATTTGACCTTTATAGTTCAGTAGGATGAAATACAGGTAGGGCCAAATTTGTAAAAATTGGGGAAATTATTTATCTTCCTTTAAGATTAGTAAGTACTGTGAGAATGCAAAAAATCCTGGCTTATTCTCCAAGTGATGTGGGCCTAAAGCTACCATGCAGCTAGTTTGTGGAGACTGTATGGTGACCTGTGCTGTAGTTACCACAAATAGCAGTTTGCTGCTTGTTCTTTCTTCAGGATCGCTTCATTTGCTCTGGCCTAGTTGTCACTACTTAAACTCATCATAGTTTTTGACCCTGGGGCTAAGCAATAGAACTACACAGTACCTCCTCAATGGCATTAAAGTCACTGAAAGGAGAGTCAAATACAAGTGGCAATCTTTGCCTCATGGCAAGATTTAGAGAGGAGCTCTAGACATGGACAGAAGTTTTCCTCCAAGGAGAGGGATGTCCAGGGATGCCACAAGCAATCTGTTTATCCCACAAACAAGAAATCTGTTGATCCTATTTAAACAAGAAATTGATATTTTTAAAAATAAAGTTAGCTCTGCTCCAGCCAAAATCAGCATAGCAACCCAATAAAACACTGTTCTCTTTAACTGAAGCTTCTTCAATCCTCCAGTGCAAGTTTTACATGGTGTTTAATCTGCCTTGTTATGTTTTCATGTGCGTGACATACCTGTGAATTTCTGCCAACAGGTCACACTCTCATTTCAAGCTAAAGTGCCAAGCACGTCTCTGTGAGATGTGGACAGCATTTTGTACAGAAGAAGTCTGTGAAGGCAGCACAGACCCAGAGAGGTCCTTCGTTTTGGGCTGGCCCACCACAAACTGTGTGGTAAATTTCAGGTAAGAGTTGAGATATGCTTTATTTACCAAGCTGTTTGAGTGTTGTTAGGGTGACAGTTAATGAGACTATCACAGATTCACTTCAGCACCAGTGAATGTGGGGACCAGAAACCTGCTAATTCTTAAACCAGTTCCTTCTACTACTGTGAGCAAGTCACCCTCCACATCTTCTGTCTCCCTACAAATGGCGCAGTGATACTCATAATTTTAAAAATGGAAAAAATATATGATTTGACAAAGCACTGTCTGTGCTGCAAACTTGCTTAGTGGAAATTATTGTTATTTTTTTGGTATAACTTGACAAATACCTTGTCGAATTAATAAGATGAACTACAAATATTAAACAGCCAGGCGAATGAAAGGATCAAAGACAGTCTCGTAAGACAGTTTTACACAAAAGAACATATATTGGAAATAGCAAAAAACGTACAGTGAAATTCTGACCTTGCCCTATTTCTCTTTTCAATTTAATTGTGCCAGAGAAAATGTCAAAATTCCTCTTAAAGCAGAATCATCTTTGAATTTTAATAGAGAGAAAGATTTTTGATCTGTCTTTGCAGCATTGGCTGTAGGACACATTAGGGCTGTGGAGGTAATTTCAGTGATTATGTTAATTTTAGTCTCAGCAGGAGGGCTCTGTCGTCACTTTGGATGAGGGAGGGCACCATCCCCCTGAAATCCCAGCTGCTTAGCCACAGTAATTTGCCTGGATCTTGGAAATGCATTTTCTTCTTTATCAACAGAGAGCAAAAGCTGAAGTATCCAGCTTAATTTCTATGTCACATTGTCCATACCCAAAGAGAATGCTGTGTACAAACTACTCTCTATTGGGCTGATTGTGCTCTTTATGTTTTTTGCACTTAATAGTCCTGAAACAAAGATGAAATTTTCCATTATTTTCAATTGAACTCTTGCCAATAAACATGAGCTTTGATCTAGAGACAATATGTGATCCTTTATAGCTATCAGAAAGTAGCTGAATAGGAAAGCAATAGCCTCAATCAAAAAACCCAGAGATTTTATAGAAGTGAAATTATTTTATGTCTGGAGGTGCACAGAAAAATCTAAAATGTGCTGTGTGAGTCTGTAGATGCCTTTCCACAGATCTGAAACACCCAAAGCAGAATCATGTTTGTAACATTCATAAAGTGTATTCCCCTCACAGCATCATTCAGGAGGTTTGTAGTTCCCTAAATGCCTGCTCTGAAAATCTGAAGAACTTGATTTGCAAAAGCAGCAGTGGGAATAGCAGTTACTCCATCTGGGACAGGATTTGAGTCTGGAAAGTTGAAGCAAAATTAGGTTAGATTCCTTGAACTATCCTATTATTAGCTACATTTGACTGGACAGTTTTGTATCCTTAAAAGTGTATAAATGAGATAAAGATAAGTGAGATAAGCCTTAAAGTGTCCAAAGTTAAACCCTACTAAGTACAATGAGCTTATGTGTACTTTGTCATGTGCTGATAAAACAAGTAATAAATAAGAAGATAATTAGAACAGTGAAAGTGGAAAGATGTCTGTATACCTGAGGAAATACCCTTAAACTTTTGAATCAAGCTCCTATTTTGAAGTGCCCTCCTCTTCTGTTTGGACTTTAATGTTTAAGAACTCAATGCATTTCCTACTGAGTTCACTGGTAAAGCTTTAACTTCTGTGACAAAAACTGGTAACTAGGGCTTTTGGTCTTTGTGGCAGGCCTTTTAGTTGACTTTGCAGGGAAGCAGACTTTTCATTCAAATTTGGATAAACCTTTTAGGTTTTGTGTGTATTTATAAAATTGCAACCAAGAAACAGTCCGTTCCACTGTGGTTTGTACAAGGACTATTTTGGTATGAGAATGATGACTGGTATGTCCCTGTTTTTACTCTAATTCTTCCAGGTCTGCAGAACAGAAGGAAACATGGCTGTCTTTTTTGCAAAGGTACTTTATTATATGGTCTTTGAAGACACTGAAAACAGTCCCAGTCTAGACCAGTGATTCCAAAGCTGTGATGCCTATGCCATCATGATAGATAAGCTCTTTCAAAGTGATACTGAGAAAAAAGTCCTCAGTTCTTTTCCCTGCAGAAGATGGTGTGTGTCTTCCATGCAACAATCACTATGTGAGGAGGGAATTGCTTCCCTGTGCTCAGCACAAAACTGGCACGATTTCTGTCACATGTTGTTTGGTAGGAGCTTCTGCCACCATTGCTCTAGTTGAGCCTGGAGCTTTTTCCATGGTGATGGCATCTAAGCAAGCTCAGCTCAGGAACCTCTGCTCTAACCTGTCTGCTGCTCATGGCTGTATTTTGGTCTTACAAAACATACCCCAACCTGGAGGATACAGTGGGAGGGTTTGTGTAAATAGAGCTGTCTTATTTCATTGAGAGTTTGGGCAGAAAAACTATCAGTGGTGGTTCTGTTTTCTGATCACTCAGTTCTGCTGGTTGAAGGATCGTTATCTGATTCTTCAGAGTTCCTGGGTTGTTTAAATCATCCTTGCTGGGATGATTTCCAATTCACTCTTCTGTTCAGTCCTCTGAACATGTCTGTACTGATGTAACTGATTCCAGTAGGAGCCTCTAGTGCAGACTGAGGCATCACAATGATGGGTAGTTTTAGCTTGATTTTTTCAATTCACTTTCTTTTTCTTACTCTGATTTCTACAATGAACTTCAATACAACAAGGGCACTACTAGGACCCACAATCAGCATGCCTTCCAGATACTGCTGGATGCTTTCTTGTTCTCAGAGATCTTTCTACTGCAGTACATTTGCAAACAATCTGCTTCTTAGCCAGTTACTGCTTGATTGCTGTTTAAATCATTGTCTTGTTACTTATGTTTGCAGTATTAAAATTTGTTTTGTACTTGTTTTCTCAGTCGAATAAGAGAAGAGAAGGAAAAAGACAATCCTAAAAGCATTCCTCTAACGATAATTGCAAAGGACGTGGGAACTTGTGCATATGTAAGTGCTCTTGAGCTAAACAGGGGTCTAAATCCACAACACCTATGAGTGCTAGTCACCTACAGGTTCTTTGGATATTGATAGGGTTCTGTTGGTTTGCAATCTCCTTTAAGGATCTTGGAAAGACTTGGAATACACAGCTCTGAAATGTTTGTTCCCTGTGTTTAGTACACGATTTCCATTTTAAAGACAGTGTGCTTGGTAAGAAATACTGGTTCTGGCAGACAAACTAAAGACTGTACCGTGTGAAGTCCCAAGAAGCATCTCTAGCGGAACTTATGCATAAGCATCTTCAGAAATGCCAGTACAATGTACCCTTTTTTTGCTTGTATAACTTATCTAAACCCACAGCTGCCTTCATTCAATTCTGCAAAGTTGCAATGTGTTTTATGGTTTATAATGATCTTAAGTCAGTAAAACAGTGTATAAGAACACCCTGAAATTGCCTTAGACATTTTTCGTCAACTAATTGATTTTGATACATTTTTAGGCAAAGAGTAAATGGCAAAGAAAGGTCATCCACAGGGTGATTTGCACCTTTTTGACTAAGTAAATTTTAACCAATTTAAACTAAATTATTGTCTGCAGACAGTTCCATAGGGATGCCCTGGCATTCAGTGATAATCCATCCATTCTTCCTCTGATTTTATGCATTTGTCTTTTCTTTTGAACTGTGCTTGTAACATCTGTATTTCATGCTCAGAACCCTAAAGAGCATGTGCATGGGCAAGAGAAATTTTCACAGAAGGTGGTTTTCATTGGAGGTCTTTGCCCAACAGTGAATCTCCACTTAGAATTCTGTATTTGCATAGGTGTAAGCATAAAGGAGTCTGACTTTTTTTTTCTCAGAAAATCATTATCAAGGTAAACAATAATAGATTTGCCCATTTGCTAAGATAAAAGTTAATAAACAATACCAATAATTGTGACAGTTCAAATGCAGGACTGCAGATCAACATCTGCTCAGGTGTAAAAGCCTATAAATCATTCATGCACTCAGGTGTTGCAGTCTTGTACTAGTGTGTTTGGGGTTTTTTTAAATGTCTTTTCTCCTTAGCTATAATGAGCTCATGTGCCATATATGGTCTCCTGATTCTGACAGTCCTAAAAATGACACAGTCTAGATATTACCAGTAATAAAACAGAGGAGGCACAGATGGAAATTTTATGATGCAAATAGTTCTGTAGCACTGCAGCTCCTGTGATGAAGATGCCCAAGAATTATTTCAACACAAGGCACAAACCAATTTATTATATTCTAGCCAAGAGCAAAACGTATGCAAATGTACTGACCTACTCCTGAGAGCCAGATGTCATTGCTTCAGGCAAATGTTAAATTTTTTATGGTATGAGCGTTCAGATATGTCCTGAAGCAAGATACACAGTATTCTCACGACTTTCCTTTAATTGCCATGGCAGCTTGTTACCGTCAGGGACTCACACAAATGTACAGCTCAGATCTTTTCTACACGCGAAGTGTCAGGGGGTTGTTTCACCTGAACATCTTATAGCCAAATGATATAAAATTGATATGCTGCACAGGTAACAGGGTATTGCAAATTGTCTTGGGACTGGCTGTGAACATTTACATCCCAGCTCTCACCTCCCTTTCTTTGGGCTGTTGGGTGGTTTGTTGCAGTGGGCATGCCTTTGTTCTGCCAAGGCTTTAGTCTGGGCATCCAAAAGCTGTGCCATCTTGTTGATGGAGCCAAGCTAGCATGCATCTAAAAAGGGCTTAGTAACTCGTGCTTGGTGTGTGGGAGTTGCCTGTTGGCTTGGAAGTGAGACCGGTATGGGTATGATGCTGTAAGCAAAAACCACTCTGGACACACTTTCTCCACTTGTTTTTGCCTTTGCAAAAGATGGCAGTGGTTCTGCTGCACTCCATCAGAGGATGGAGTGATTCATGCTAGTGTGTTTGATGCGTAAGAGCAACCCTAGAGCTGATGTACAGAGCATTGCCCAGCTGTATGGGATTAATACTGGTGCCTGGCAGCAGGTGCTGAAATCTCACTCTGGAAAGACTGCCCTGTGGAAAGTGGCACTTTCACTGACACAAGGCTTGGCACTTCATGCTCGTTACCATAGCTATTTAGAAAGTGATGTCTCTGCTGCTCCATGCTTTTCCAGACTGCCAATCAGCATATTCTGGAGGCTGCTGGAGAGGTAGTGTTTTAACTGGATAAAAGATTACCAAGAGGAAGAGCTTCTGGTACTAAGCCAAATCTAGCTTTGAGAAATGTGTATAGAATATGGCAAAAGTTAGAGAGATGAACAGCCTGTGTGTACAATATTTTCTTACCAGGGAGAACTTCAGTTGAAAAGGACAGAAATTATTAATGATTGATATTTCACTGACTTTTTTTTCCAAAGGAAACTTGCATGCTTTTAAATTAATGAAACCATTACATTTCCCTTATGTAGTGTCTAAAGTGCAGTTAGTGGCTCTGTCTTTTTGCATATTTTAATGTGGAAGTCATGTCCCCAGTAATCATGGCACTCTGTCTTTGGATGGAGCTATTGGGAAAGCAGGGGGCAAATACAGAAAGTATGTGACAAAGCAGAGAAATGAAGCCTGGGTTTCAAACAGCTGGACCTTTAGGTACTATAATTTATTTATCAAATAAAATTTTAACAGGATGTTCTCAATTTTTCCAACAATGAATTATGCAGTGCAACTGCACTTCAGATACTCTTTGCAAATTCAAATTTTTAATGCCACTTTCCTCTTCTGTTTTCTGTTCACAGTCAAAAACCCTAACTGTAACCAATGTTGATACAGCAAATGATGTAATTCTGATGGCCCTGCAGCAGCTGGGAATCAACGTAAGTCCTTGCACCAGTTTTAATGAGCCTTTTTGTCATCACTTTTAACAACCAGATCTTCCCTTGCAGTTTTTCTAAGTTTTAGGATACGAACATTAGTTAAATCCTTTGACACAACAATTCAGAGTTGTTGAAGTGAAGCAGGAGTGCTTTGTTAATATACAGACCTCCAGAGATCATCAAGTCCCTCAAAAGTTTTGAGTAAATCTCTCATCCCTGTAATGGATCAGTCATGTTTCAAGTTCAGGTTAGATATTAGGAAGAAGTTTTTGATTGTTAGGATGGTGAGACACTGGAACAAGTTGCCCAGAGAGGTAGTGGCTGCCCCAACCCTGGCAGTGTTCAAAGCCAGGCTGGATGAGGCCTTGAGCGACCTGGCCTGGTGGGGGGGGTCCCTGCCCATGGCAGGGGGGGTTGGACTAGATGATCCTTAAGGTCCATTCCAACGCCTTAACATTCTATGATTTCTCTGATTAAGTTGCTTTAAAATCTGTTTTGTTGGTGCATAAGAGGAGGTACCTGGACACAAGAAGTGAGAGTTTGATAGAGTTCCGTTTGCATACATCAGTGTGAACAGGAAACCTACTGACCTGCCTGTTAGTTGGTTTCAAAATGCGTAAACATGCTCGATTAGCTGTGCCTCCAAACTGCAAGTACAAGCACTGCTCTCAAGTGCCCAAATCAGGTACTCTAAATATCCATAGACCTTTAGTTCTATGTGAGATATGAATGTAACTAAGTGATTGCATGGAATCTGAATGCATCCAATTTAAGCAAAGTCCTGAAACTGTTTTGGAAAAAGGCTTTTACAGGACTTACGATAATGCAGGGTAGCTCACCAAATGATCCCTACCAGATCAAGTACTGCCTCAACTGGCTTCCTTTGCTCTAAACCAGACAAGGTAGTGCCTCAGGTGTAGTAATGAATAGTGCTAGGGACAAGAATTCTGGCTGCCTTATTATGTTTCACAATGTCACTCCAACCAACACCAAGGATCATATAGCAGCTCCTGGATGACAGCTTTTTAGCTGGCCTGTCAGCCTGCTCTCTGAGTAACGAGATTTTTTTTAAAATGTCTTACCCTTGATGCCTATGTTGATCTCATTGCATGGAATCTGAAAAGTCTTTCCATACCAGAGCCCTGAGTGCGAAGAGTCAAATATGACCAAAGTGCCATTCTTGTGCTTCCCTGGGGCTTCTAGACATTCACAACAAAAGTTGGAGTAACCTCAAATTTTGCCTCTCCTAGCATCCATTATCCCTAATTTATACAGGCTTTTAATGCAGGGGTCTATTCTTCTAGCTTGGTATTTCCTGGATGCAGCGATTTCTGTCTGCACATCTTGTATGGCTCAGATATCCCATTTACATTAGGGCTGGGGCTCTGGCCTGAGCTCAGGATCCAGCAGTCCATCCAATTAAGCTAGCTCTGGAGTTCATGGAGGGTTTGCAAGGTGAAAAGGATAAGATGTGAGGTAATATTAGGATTTTAATTGCAGATTGTGTCCCCTAGTCTGCGCCAGAAGTCGTGAGACTGTGCTATATTACAACTACAAGTCTTTATTGTCATGTGCTTTATTTTTAGCCGTTTTTGGGTGCCATTTGCGCTTCCTCATTTTGTGTACAGAAAAAAAAGGAAAATGGTAGTATTCAAAAAGAATACTTTGAGATGAGCAGGAGGGCGAGCTGGTTAGGTTTCAGCTTTGTGTTCTTTTGTATGTATCACAATCAACCCTTTCCTCCTCTTTACATTTTTATTTCAAGTGGAAAAAGAATGAAAGCCATCTGAAAGATGTAAAATCTTGCCTGCAGAATTATTTGTCCAAGTAATATACTACATTTTTCACTGCTTCTTTATAGCATAAAGCCTTTTTTCATTAGAGGCATATCATAAGATTAGCGATAAAATCAAACAAGCCAAATAAATTAAGCTGTAGTCTGCATATCAATCAAACACCCAACCCCCTCGTAGGGTTGTTCTGTGAGGAAGCTTCACCTTATGCACCATTTCATGGTTTTTTATTTGTGTCCAGAGAGAACCACTTGAAAGGAGCTCTATGACTTTTCAATGGCAATTATAAAAACTACATTTCACATATTGTGTGATTAATGGGGCTATTACTTTGGCTGAGTTCACTCTGGTTTAACACATCAGGGCTTTTTCCTCTGTGCTTCCTCTCGTAAAATGACAACTCGCTTGTGCAAAATGGCATTGATCATCTGTTCCAAATTATCAAGTGGGGCAGAAAGAAGGGCCTTGGGTTTCCCAGCTCTGTAAGTACACTTGCTGACTTTTCTGGGACAGTCACATTTATATTGACAAATGGCCTCATAAAGCCCATAAAGGACAGCATTTGCAGTGGGGAGATGAACAGTCTCACTCCTGAAACTGTGCTTGCTAGCTCTTCCCCTTCCTCTGCTTCCCCTTCATGGCAACGAACCCTTTCATATATATATGTAAAAGGAAAAGCAAATACCCTTTCTTGTGCTCCTCAGCTGTATTTATTTGCTCCTGGCTGCTTGCCCTGAGGCATCAGAGATGTCTCCAAAGCCTATTTATTTTCCTTCTGCCCCCTGCTAGCTAACTTAACAGCAGTGCTAATATGGGCCAGAAAGCTCTGTCAGTCAGAGAGCAAACTGTAAAGGCTTTATTGGGTGTATCAGCATTACACTGGGTGCATGCAGCAAGTAGGAAGAGTCTCAAGAGCCTTGGGGACACTGGGTGAAGGTCCAGACAACGCAGGATTGTTGGTAAATCTGTTTAAAAAGAGGTAGGATTTAACTTCAGAGCTATGAGATATTTATCACCTTTTGTAGCCAGAAAAGTTCTAGATTTTAATTATCCTGATTTAGCAGTGTCACTGAAAATGGATTTAAGGTAAAACATATCACTTTTAATGCAGTATATTTATCCACTTGCTATTTCCTTTTGTCCTGAGAATGGTTTACATTAAATGTCCTTCTTTTTATTTCTATGGTCTCACTGTCATATCTGATGTAATTGCTATTCCCTTTCTTCAGTTAAACTGCAACTTGTATATTTATGCTTAAGGCAATATTTAGAATTTTCTTTCAAATCAGAGGTTTCACACAGCTTTTCCCAAAGATGATTACATTCTCCAGTTTTTTGAAAATTGTCTCCTTTGATGTAAATTTATTCTCTCCACTGTACATTTTGAAGAGGGCTCAGCAGTCTTAAAACACCATCCAGCACTCCCAAGCCCTTCAACACAAAAGAGCTGCACAAAAGTGCTGACAGCAGCCCTATAAGGAGATTTTGGGGCAACGCTGAGTGGCAGGATGCCCCTGTGTGCCATCCTTGCCTTGGTGGCATGAGGGTGGGCTCAGATCTGAGGTGAAGGTGCTCCTGCCCCTGCCTTCCAGTGTGGGTCATGGGATGCTGTTTGCTGGTGAGCCTGAGCTCCACCTGCTTACAGGAGATATAGAGAAACTGGAGGGATGGTGGAGCAGAGTTCTCAGATGTGAGGCTTGGGGGTACCTGTGTGCCAGAGGATGGAGCTGAAGGGTCACCTTGGCTCACACAGACTGCCTGCTGTCTGCCACAGGCTCTGCAGCAGACCTCCTCCTCGTGCTGCTTAGCTCCTCGAGGCTGGGTGCTGCTCAGTACCTGCAGGGTGAGGTGGGCTGTGACATCCATCCCTCTGCTTCCAGGAGCAGTGAAAGAATTGAGGAAAATCTCCACATTTTCTGTCAGAAATTATGGGCTCCACCACCACTCACTGCTCAGAGCTGAACTCTGGTCACATAAACCACATTGCAGGGCAGACACAATTCAGAAACTTTGTTGGTGGCAAGTGTGGGCACTGCAAAAATACTTTGGCCCCCGCTGGCAAGGTGCAGATTGTCCTTATATTGTAAGAAACCTTATGTGAATCTGTCCTTAATGGCTGGCAAACTAACTCTTAATTCTGATTTTAAAGGGGTCAGAAAAAGACTACAAGCTGTGGGTGATTTCAGGAAGAGAACACGCTCCTTACCCTCTTATTGGTAAGCTCTTGGCATGGTTTTGTTTTTCAATATTTACTCAGTTTTTAGTGCTGAATGAAGCAAGAAATACAGAGAAGACTGAAATGCATCTTCCCCTTTTCTTGTGTTTTTCCTGTTTTTCCTCTTACTTCCCTTTCACGCAAGTTTGCCTATTTGGGGAGCTAGTCAGATGCTGATCCTTTGTTTTGAAAAGCAATTGTCTGCATGTGTCACTAAGAGGTTGAAAAAGTTCATTTATTTCTGCCCCAGTTTTGCTGCATGAGCCCCAGTCTTTCTGTAGAGCTAACCACAACATTTTAGCATTGCATCCATATTTACTATCTTTAATCCACCAGGTCTTTAGACAGATCTGAAAAATATCTTTCTGGTGGCATTTTTGAAAGTTCCTCCAGAAATGAATTGTCTCTGTGTAGTCCCCAAAGATGCTGGTTAAAGCCAAGCACAGCTCATTTGCATTAGCCCTGTGATTAACGTTTCCTTCCTGTTTCAGCCTCAGACAGGAACCATAATTGTGCCTCGTTTGACTGAGCTGATGACTGTTGCACTTAACATGGAGAGGGAGGGAAGATCACTCTCACACTGGACTTTTTTGTTATTGCATGCTCAGCAAAAATTTGACAGGACTGCTCCCAAAATCTCATTTCTTTCCAGAATGATATGAGCAATCAGTACCTAAATTTTCAGTACCACAGGAAAAGCAGTAGAAAGAGTAAACACTGAATTCAGAAATAGTCGCTTGTATTTTTTCTGTTAGGCTTTTACATGATACAGCTCTAATAGGTCTGATTTTACTTTTACATCTGTTTAACTACACCCAACACAGTAACACTCCCTATCTGCCAGTGTGCGATTTACGCCCGTGTAATATGGAGAAAAGTGTCAATTCTGAGATTACTGAGACAGAAAGTGCTGCGGGCCAGCAAGCAAAATCTGCTTTTCCTCCAGGGCAGATGGAGTTTTGCAAGTCTCCAGTCAATCCAACACAGATTATTACGATTTCTCTTTGAACAGGACATGAATATCCCTTTGGAATTAAAATGAGCCACATTCGTGATGCTATGCCCCATGGATCAAAGCACTGTGCCTGCCCCAGGCAGCTTCAGGGGTCTTTCTTGACGGAGCAGCTGCCCCAGGAGCTGCAGTGCCAGTTTGTGCTGAAGCCAAGCCAAGTGGCCATGTGCCAGCAGCTGAACGGTACGTTGCCCCCCTCACCCCAGCACCATTCACCCACAGCCTGCATGCTTCCCTGGCTCTGCTGTGATGGGGGGGCTGTGCAGAGCGAAGAGGAGCACACAGGTGTACCTGCCAGCTGCACGGGGGATTTTGCAGGGTAGCTCTCCCTGCTTTGAGTGTGCTGTTGCATATGTGTCATCTTCATAAGTTACATTTTGACAAGCTGCCTGTCAGGTGATTGTTCTAAAACCAGCAAAAGAAAGGCAGAATGTCTCCCCTGCAATTTTTTGTCAGTCTATTAACTGAGCTTCTCTCTGTAGCCCTTGCTGTGCTCTGTAGCAAGGCAGAGTGGTTTTACGGTTCAGGAGTCAAGGCTTGACTCCGGCACAGAATTCCCATGCAGCATTTGGCAGCATCCTTTATCTCAACTTAGTACTTAGGACTATACACCTGCCTCACTGGGACACTCAAGCGGCAAAACCTAGACATGTACTTGAGTACCTAGGTGACGTGAGCAAATAGAACTTCTTTATTTCAGTACTCTCTGAGTAAAATTACGAAAATAATATTTTCTTCTGCCTTTGGCCTTGATTCTGCAAATATGTGAGCACCTGCTCTCTGTTTTGCACTGCGTTGTCAATGACACAATGACTGTGCACTGCTCATGATAAAACAAATAAGGAGATCTTTACAGGACTAGGTCATTTGACTTAGGGGAAGGATACATCCCATGGTGTGTTCTTATTGTGCTTAATGCACTGACATACTCAGATCAATTAGGAACTCTGTCCTACTTCACCATTAGTGACCACGTCATAAAAAAATAACATGCCTTCTGTTACCTTGTGCACTCCCCAACAGCTAAGTTCGGATAGAATCCATTTGTAATGTTTTTAGAAATTAAGTATAGTGAAGCTATACCAGTGTCTATTGCAAATTATTCTGGAAATTGATTACATTTTATATAAATTAATTTCCTTTCCACATGCCTTCATCCCACCCCCCTTCCCTGTAATTTGTATCATATATTACTTCATGGCATATTTTAAGAATGAGGCAATCTAGCAAAGGGGTGTAATTAGGTTTACAGGCCCAGCTTTGGCAGCTGGTGTTGACTGGCAAGAGAAAATAGAAATGCAAATCAAGCCTGTAAAGTTCTAATGCAGATGTGTTGTCATCGGTGCTGTGCAAGCCGCAGGAGGGGAGGTGAGGCTGGCTTGGGGCAGCAGAAACCTGGGGCAGCCTGCAGGTCATGCACAGGGACTGTGCTAGATGGGAGAGAGAGGCTTTTAGTCCATTCACCTTTCCCTCTTTCATCAGACAAAACCTTTTAAAGTCATTGACACTGGAACAGGTCACCCAGGGAGGTAGTGGATGCCCCAACCCTGGCAGTGTTCAGAGCCAGGCTTGAGCAATCTGGTCTAGTGGGGAGGTGTCCCTGCCCATGGCAGGGGGGTTGGGACTAGATGATCCTTAAGGATCCAACCCCTAAAATTCTATGACTCTATGATTCTATGTATAGGTCTGACTGCTTGTAGAGCAGGTTATCTCACATACATCGCTGTTCACTGTGCTCTTCCTAACTCCTTCTCACCTGTTTCAGTTTTGGAAAATGGCAAAAGGTACCAGTATGTAAGCCAAGACTATGACCTGGCTTTGGGCTTGTCTTAAGATCAGCAAGACAAAATCTGTGTCGTTGTCATTGGGTAACCACTAGGCACACTGCCACATACTGGGCAAATTTACAGGGAGTGGCATCTGTAACCCCACATTTCACTGCCACATGTGCTATCCTCTCTCGCATCACCTCTCTGCATCAATCACACTGTGCTGGACACACTTTCCCTTCTGGATACCACAAGGGGCAGCTACCCAGGTGCACCAGCATGCCCCATGGTTAGGCAGCAGTGTAGGTGTTGACAGGCAGACATGACTGACAACTGGCTGACATGTCAAATAAGTAGCTGTGTGGACACCAACTATGGTGGTGTAGTTGCCTGCCTGTCCTGGCAGAATGGTTAAAAAAAGTACACGGGAATTTACTCTGTGGATGAACTGGAGCGTTTCTGTTGCCTCTCCTGTAGCCTCTCAGCATGTACCAGGAATGGTCACCTGCCTGTTAAACATAGCCAGTAAGTAGTACTCAGGAGCACATGTCTAAAAAGTGTCATAAATGCTTATTTGCTTAAACTTGAACTTGAAAGAACCAACAGCTGCTAGTAGCTAGTCAGTAATCCAAATTATTGTTTAATTGTCTGTTAAAAGAGAAAGCAAAATTTCAACAAATTAGCCTCAATACATAAGGTCTTTAAAAACTGACAGTTAGAGGTTTGATCAGAAAGGGTGTTATGTTGTTAAATAGATCTGAAGTTTTATTTAGAAGTTTCTGTTTAGTTTCAAGAAGAAATGCCACTTCCATGGCTGGGACACTACCTATGAATAGAAATTCCCTTCATGTAAAATATGAGCAGAAGAGATGGCTGCTGTGAGCTCTGAGCAAAATTTTCCATCAAAGTAGTATTGCTTTTTTTTCTGATTCTGGCCTAGAATAATCCATCAGGGCAAGGTCCTAAGGTTTTTGTATGGAAGTACTTCTGCAGAGCAGCAATTGGCATCTGTGTTGGCTGAAAGGAGCCTCGGCTTCTCCTAGTATTGTAACTTTGCACAGGTTTAAGGAAATAAAGTGTATGTCCTCCCCTTCTCATCTGCTCTTTGGCTTAAGACTTCTCAACCCCCTTAAAAAGGGGATGTGAAAAGGATGAGTTTTCCTGTTGTTCAGTGAATGCTAGTTTTGTAAGTGACATGGCATTTTGTTGAGTTGTTGGTTTCTGCCCTGATGTGCTGAAGAGCACTGGTTAAGATTTCTTTCCTCTCCCAGGAGAGAGCTGCAGTTAGTTACAATTACCCCTTGCTCACAGTTTAAGCCGTGGCTTTTAAGAGGGGAGCAAACAGTAAGAGACTAAGAAAAGTTCCTAATTTTAAGACTGTTTTTTATTCACTTCTGCTATTCCTTGTTCTCCAAAATAGCATCTTTTCTTAGTTTTTACTTCCACTAAGATTTACAGGGTTGACAGAAAAAAGCACCAGTATGTGTTTGCCATTGTGTGACTAGAACTCCAGATGAAGCAAACCTTATTCATGTGCTAATCTCCAGCTCATCTGAAAGAAAAAAATGTAATTTTGTAAGTTATAAATTAGTTATGTTCTCTCAAAATATCACGTGTCAAGTAAAGCCTTAGACGCTGCCAGACTTATATGTCTTGAAGCTTTGGATTGCTTAAAATGTATATCCTCATTATTTTTTATAAAAAGAATTTTTCATCAGACTTTTGCATTCATATGTTCACCTTTTGAGTTAAACTGTAACTTTTCATCCTGTAAGTCTGCAATGAAAAGACTTCCACCCATTCCCAAAGGCAACATGATCTGGAATGGAATGACGTATAATGAAAATCACTATTTGGGCTAAAAACTCAGTTGTAGTAAAGTATAGGAGAGAATACAGTATTGGACAGAAAAATCTGGTGTTGTGCCACAATCCTCAATTCTGCAAGCCTTGCCTCTGGCCTCCACAACAGCTGAAAGTAAAATGTTTGACTAGGTGGAAGAACCAGCTAATAGAAAAGTATATAGGGTAAATGAGCAGCTAAGTCAATGCTGATTGGCTTTGAAAACACCTAGAAGAGGAAAAACATACCAGAATAAGGGGTTTTGTTCAATTAGCGCTTTATCATAAACAGTCCCCACTCCTCCTTAGCAGTAGCCCATCCTATTAAGATGACTTTTCACCGGCTGATGTTGAGAAAGGTCATATGAAAAAAAAACCTTTTTCATATCCCAATACCAGTATTTCCTTTTCTATACACTGGAAATAAGAACTTCAATTAGTGGTGCTCTCTCAATATCTCATGAAATGTGTTAAATAAGTGAAGATGAGCAGAGCCCATTAGGATGTTGGCAGCATGCTGAAATGTCATCTGGAAGGCATTGATTACAGGGTAGGCACCATCCCTGGGCCATGGCCAGCAAGTGCTTGGAGTGAGTGCCTAATGATAATGCTTGTGTTGTGGAGAAGAGAGCAAAGGCAGTGGCTTTTCCTGGTCTGAAAATGTCTCACCCCATTAGTTGATGCTCTGGTGTCACTTGTGGGGAGAGTGGTTGCTCTCCCTCATTGGAACTAGGATGCTTCTGGACAGCAAACCAAGGTGAGGGCAATGGAGACCTTCTTTTCCAAAGGTCTGTGGTTTTGCACCTGTGGGTAGAAAATGAGTTATTTAGCAGAGTCCAGCTCTGTGTGAAGTCAGCAGGCTGAGGTTTGCCCTCCTACACTTAGCAGTGAGTGCTGGCACTGTGGTCCAGCAGTGCAGTGCAGACCCTGGTGATCCTCATAAGAGCATGCATAAGGCAACACACTACACACACACACACACACACACACACACACACACACACACACAGAGGTATGTGCATGGTGGATTAGGCTTAGCTGGATGTCAAGGAGTTGGTTGAGTTCATGACATTTTTTCCTTTGAAACCATAGCAACCACCAAAAAACAAATACTGGAATTAGAATTGAAATGCATTTCTTCTAATAAACACCTTTCTCTTTCCCCAGACTTAAGCCAGAAGTCATTTAAAAGGAAAAGATCTATCATAAGTTGGGCTTTTTGGCGTGGCCCAGGCACTCCCTTGGACAATGCACCTCTCTCCCCAACAACTGCTGCTCCTGGGAAGCTCTTTGGCCTCTTGCTAACAACCATCTGTGAGGATGACAACCTGCCCAAACCCCTCTTGGTGAGTCCCAAGCTCAGGGTTGGGTCTGACAGTGGTGGAATTTCTTTGCTTAGTAAATGAGAACATGTTTGTAAATGGGACATTGAAATTACCCAAGCAAAGAAACCAGAAAGGTTTCCAGAAGGAAACCTCATTTGTGGTTCTCAGCAAGAACTTTGGTTTTTAACATATGCTGTGGTCAGGCCTAGTTAATAACAGCTTGAGAAATGTATGTGATCAGCCTGCTGCTCTGGGCTATTTCTTCTTTATAGCCCATGCTGTAAGGCTGGTTCCCTAATGCTCACTTACGCAGTGTAAATATATGCCACATTCACACACACTTTTTAAACCACTCCCAAGATCTCTGTAAAATCCCCAACTCCATAAATGTGTCATCTACTGTCCCATATAGACAGCCCACGCATACATAAAAATGCCACCTGCCCATAACTAGACAGTTTCAGAGCCTTTCTTGAAGGCATTCGAGGGCAAGCACTCTGAGTCCTCATTTTTAATCTGACAGCACCACTGCAAGAATAGGTGGGAATGTGGGGGCTGCAGGAGCATCTTTTCATCCTGCCTTGAGAGAGCTCTGGTGCTGTGGGTGCTCCCAAAACCAGTCTAGGAATGTGAAAGAGGTTGTCTTAGAGCCCACTCCTAGGCATAATTAAGGCACATATGTGGCATTTTTGGTCAGAACTGAGGGCTGTTGTCGATGCAGCAGTTGAAGCATTTACAGAGGGGGAGTGAGCCCTGCTTCCTAACTGTCCAACTTTTGGCTGGAAGAACTTGCCAGAACCCCACTGAAATCACTAGGGTTATACTAGTTTACAGGAAGAAATATTTTATCTTCTAAGCTTGTGCTTGATGTGCTGCTTTATCACTGCCTAAATAGTAAATCATACCAGGACTTTTCAGGTCTTTTAATAGTGTGAGCTTGTTATTTTCTTTTGAAGGAAAAGTGTGTATTTTTATAATTTAGGTTGTTTAAATAAGGCCTCCAGAGATGAACTCTGTAAGAATACAATCACCTGATCACTCATTCTCTCTGTTTCAGACATGAGCCAATGCTGCATTTCAGAAATTTCTCCAAAACATAAATATGAGTAAATTTTTATCTGAAAAAATCCCCAGAGTTACAAAGCATAGAATCAGTAGTTGGTAGTCTCTGCGCTTTGACTCTTAGACATTGTGTTTATGCCACAAAATACAGCTCACTTCTGAATTCATGCAGTATCCCTGGAGAATGGAATACTGGGAGACTGTGTGGGATTTACCTGCAAGAGAAGGAAAATACCAGGGATGAATGCTGCAGGCATGTTTGATATCTCTGCTTCAGAGCTTCAAACTTGCTTTCACAGCAGAAGGGCTCTCTTTTAGCCATTGCCACACTGAATTGTCTTGCACCCTTAGCTTCATTCATGTAATTTTGTGTGAGTTTGATAGCTTAACACAGGCTTCTCATTTTTATCTTGTGGGTATTTTGTTAAAAATACATTTTCAAAGCTTTTGTCCATGTGCTAATATCCTGTGCTGTGGGACTCAGGCTGTTTTGACGTCAGAGTTCTAAATTCTTGCAAAGAAAAGGAAAATGCTGGCCCAAGTCCTGCTGCTATGAAGGTGTTCCTTCAAAGCATCTGCATTTACATGAATTCTTTGCCTTCAGCTTCTGCAAGAGTGAGAAAGAAACGTTACAGAAGAAAAGCAAAAGTAATAGTTTCCATTAGACTTACTCTCGCTGCTGTAGATCAGGAGGACCTACCTTACAGCCTAGATTAGGAAAGTCCCCAAGCCCCATTCCTTAGCCATTCCTAAGGAGTTTAATGATGATGGACTCTCCCCCAGTGTCCCTTTTCTTGCCTTCTCTTTTGATATCTTGGTCCTCAGACCACTGTGTGCATACACATAATCCCAGAGACTGTCTGCATGTGTTTCTCCTTTGGAAGAGATAAACATGGCAAATTCCACATAATTTGGAGCAGACCTGCAAGAGATGACCAGCACATCTGAGAGATGACCCGCAGGAGACTGCAGAGAATTAAGCACCTGGCAAATACCATATACATATTACATCAGGAGAAGTTTCAGCATTTCCTTATCTGCTTGTTTCCCTCTCTTACTTAGCATAAGAAATCAGTCCCTCCTGTTATTTGGAAAGCTGGGCAGCAATCTGCTTGTTTTCCCTTTCCTTTTAAATATCTCATGTACTAAGCTGTCTACTTGTTTAATCCTTTGCACCCTCATTGGCTTCAGGAGAGCAAAGCTTTATCCCCCACTGGGTGACCTCTCAGGTGGGAGCACCTTGCCCCAGAGGTCCCACTAACAGCCCTGAGCTCTTTGCAGAGTATGATACCACTCACAAGCAGTAAAGGGGGTAAAAACTTGACTCTGATCTGCTGTAGAAGTGCAGATAGATATTAACAAATAAAGCACTTTCCACTTTAGGTAAAACTCTCATTTTTTTTCAGACATCAGGCATGAAGCAGATGTCTTTATCTCTGGTTGGTGATAATATTGACCACACTGATGAGCAGTGAGGGTCTCATATCTTCCTGCAAAGCGGTGTCTGGCTGAGGCCCCTGTCAGATGCAGAGTTTTGGATTAGGTAGACCACTCTCCTTTTCCCATACCACAGTGTTATATATTTAAATGACTTGGCTGAAACTTGCATGAGACCTGGAAGATCATGCAGGAAGTTCGTGCTCAGCAGTGGCAGCACAGTATTTCTGAGGGAATGTTTTCCAAAATGAGAGCTCCAGATCACAGCTTTGCTGTGCAGTTTGGCATGGTTTGGAGGGTGAGCCTTAACTTGTGTTTGATTTCTGTGCTTTTTTAGAACTCAAAGGTTTTCAGCTGTGGCAAAAGTAGCAAAAATGCATTTTAATACACTGGACAATAAAATATATTTATGAGAAATTCTTTCTGCCTTTCAATTTTGTTTAGGACATGCTTTCCCTCCTTTACCAAGAGGGCCCTTCCACCAAGGGTATTTTCAGACGCTCTGGAAGTGCAAAAATCTTTAAAGAGCTCAAGGAGAAGCTTGATTCAGGCACTGAAGTAGACCTAGCCTGTGAATCCATATTTGTGACAGCATCTTTATTAAAGGTATGTGAAGAATGTCCCTTTTTCCCTTTAGGGGTGAGAGCAGCACAGATCCTGGGCACAAGCAAGTAGGGCTTTTCTCCAGGGACAGCCCCAAAGTGGAATTGGTGGATTGAATTCAGAAAAATGGACTGGCACACTAGCATTGTAAGGATCTCCAAAAGGGTTTTGCCACTGAATTAGGATGGGGAAGAGGACTAGCCAGCTTGTTTTGCTGCCAGCTTCCCTGAGTTCTCTGCTGCAACCTGGTCCTGTTACTCTCTTTATCTCTGTATACAAAATACTAAAAAGGCATGTTTGCAGACCTGTTTCCTTACACATCAGTAATAGCCTACACTACAGACCCAAGCAGGTTTATAGTGTTGTCATAAATATTTGGATTATTTTTCCCATGCATTATCTTTTCTTACAGTCTTGTTTGTCAACAAGTATGTTCCTTTTGCAAGAGGTCATCACAAACCTTCAGTAGAATTTCAGCTACAAGGAGGATCAGCATATTTCTTTTCACATTTTAGTACAGTGCATCTGTTCATGTGTAGTTTTTGCTTAGAAGAAATAGTAATCTCCATCCTCAAGCAAGCACTGCTTTGGTGGAATATTTTTATTACAGAAAGCCATTCCTCTTCCTACCATGTGAGAGGTTTTCATGAGTGAGATTTACACAATTATTTTCCTACTGGTGGATTTAGGATGTGCATGTAGGGCAGGACAGCTGCACTGTGCCTTGGGCTGGTGTGCAGTACTCATCCCACGGGATCAGTTTCACCAGGGGCAATTGCTTAGCACTTACAACAGTGAAGGGTTACCACATAAGAGCAAATGTGTGTTATTAATGTGTGTTACAGCTTCATTTACCCTAGCTTGTTTGGGAAGCTAAGGTTTGAGCTTCTTCCTAAACTGCAGCAGTCTCCCTGCCAGTGGTTGAGGTATTAGGAAAGAGAAGCAGCAAGACTATCCATACTTACACTACACCCAGTAGTGTAAGTATTCATTACCAAAAGGGAGTGATTAGGGGAAGGAAGGTAGGGATGCTTTGGAGTGGTTATGATCTGGAGGTATTTGAGTTAAGGAGAAGATACAGGGACTGCAGATGAAGTTAAATGATGAGTAAAGACAGACATTATGCAACACCAAAATAACTGGTCTCACTGCAGATTTTTTAGTTCAGCAAGGTCAGATTAAGCATCCCAATGCCTTTATTTTGACAGGAAAGGGTGAGGAAAAGGCAGGGAAATATTCACTTTAAGCATAATCCAAAATATTTCTGTATCTCAGATGATTTTCTGCTGGTTTTGGTTGCTGTGTGTAACGATATACTTGTCAGTGAGGGCCATCCCACGGATACATCATCCTATTCCTCCTGCTTCACGTGCTCCAGAACAGCTCTTCACATGTTTTGTTCTTTTCTCTTGATAAGGATTTTCTTCGCAACATCCCAGGCAGTATTTTGTCATCCCAGCTGTGTGATAAGTGGGTTTCTGTGATGGATCAAGGAAATAATGAAGAGAAGATAAAAAGCATCCAAAGGT